GAACTAGCTCAAGCACAGAAGCTCCCCAGATGATTTTTTTTGGAGAACTGGCATGTAATATGCTTGAAATAGGTTATTTTTGTTACAGGAAAATGTAGCTGAATAAATTGAAAAGTATAGAAACATCTGGAAATTCCTCTATAATTTCAATTGTAACTCTGCCGTCGAAATATATTGTAAGTGATACAGGCTATTTTTGCTTGTACATTTATTCAATAAGATTCTGGTGATTTTCCAGTTCCTTCTCAGTTTCTCTGGCAGCAGCACAGATAACCCAGAATAATGTATCAGGACATGAAAAAACAAAAAAAAAAGAAGATAGATATCATTAAACAGAGGTTTACATTTATTGGAAAATTTGATGCTGAACTAATATGGTCTTGCCTAGTCATGTAACTTGATAAAGACATGTTTAGGGATCAAGGGGGAACAATATACGAAGTCATGGATTAAACAAATGATGAAATATCTCAACCATTCTCAAAATTTCATTTTCCCGCTGAATGGTAACATTTACTCTGACTCCATAGAACCCTGTTTGATTTAGAAAAATAACTACTGCTTTATAACACATGAAATAAAAGATAAGTGGGAAAAAGGAATGACTAGTAGAAGTAGCTTAAGGTACATATTTGGTTTAACTAAAGGATAAATAATCTCAATTAAGTAACACATAGTAGGTAACACATAGTAGGTATTTCATAGAAATAGTTGAGGTGCGCGTAAATTGATTCATACACCACGATTATAAAGTCAAAAGTAATACATAGATTAAACTCAAAATAATAGGAAAAGAAAACTCTATGTATGCAAGTTAGCTGAACACCGACATTGATGGATAGGTACATCTCTCGGAGCATTCACGTTTATTTATACTTTTTCTGTTTTTTTTACCCATTTTGAATAGTACACTCAAAAAGGAAGAGAGGAATATAACATGGTTACTTGAACTGTTTCAAAATGCTTTTGGTTTGGCATTTATAATTCTTCGAACCTAAATTTGTATGTATTTGTACAGTTGCTTACCTATGATTTCAAGTTAATATTTCATTTTAATTGGAGCTACTTTTATACTAATTAAGCAAAAAAGCTAGGAAGTTTGGTGCGAAAATTGATGGATACCTAAAAAAGAAAGGGAGTACTCCTAACATGTCGGAAAGACGACAAGTCATGTTAGGCCAAACTAGGGGTAGGCATCAGTCGGTATGGTTCGATTGTGAATGTTATCGGTTCGGTATATCAATTATTAATTTGTAAATATGCTAAACTAATAACCGAACCGATAAGATATCGGTTATCCATATCGGTTAGTCGGTTATCGATCCTTATCGGTTAGGTTATCGGTATACCCGATAAGAATAAAAAGTATCCAAAAATTTCATGTTTTAATTATAGAATTGTGATTATATTGTTAAGAGAAAGGAACTGAACTTTTGCTCTTAAGAAAGAGGGTTTAATTTTCAACCTTAGAAAAGAGAACTTTCTTTGCATTTGAAAATCACACTTAATGATCTTAAATTTTAAAGTTATAAGTTAGTAGGAGTAAGGAATAAGACATTCAATAATCTAATCTTACTAACTATCTCATTGCGGGCATGCATAATTCACAGGATAATAATAAAATCCTAATCTTGCAAATACTAAAGAGTCTTTCCAACAAAAGAAACAAATAAAAAAACTAAAAATCAGAACAATTAATTCTTTAAAGTTTAAAACTAAAAATCTTAACTAAAGAATTAAGATGAGAAATTTAGAAAAGTTTAAAACTTATTCTAAGGATTAAGGTATGAAGATGAAGAGTAATTATCAAGAGATTTGAGAGAATGAGAGAATGAAGCCATGATGTGGCTTTATATACTTAGTGAGTAAAATTATAGTTTTGTTAAAGCTTAATGGGCTATTGGTTAAACCGTTAATAAAATTGGGCAAACTGTATGGGTCAAAATCTAATCGAAGAGACCTCGCCTGAAATAGGGAAATCAAGAATCAATTAAGCCGAAGTCATGCTTAAGAAGCAACATTGACGAGCCGAGCAGCGAATGTCGAGGTCAAGCACTCAGATCGGCCAAAATGACTAGTTTAGCAATAAGATATTTCCAAAGAAGATTCAGAGGAATATTTTCAGTATTTGTACTCTTAGTAGGTAAGGGGAATGTCCCATATAAGTAGGAATATAGAGAGAAAGAAGAAAATCTAATTTTGAACCTTGATAAGCTCTCTCTAGAAAAGTTGACTCCCACATAACTACAAACTTTATCTCGATACAAGATTGGATTTTATTGTGTTGTTCTAAGCTTTCCCACGTCAGATCCAATAAAGTATTTGATATTTCCACGTTTGGTTATCTCACATCATTGTCAAAGGGAGAATCATCCACCTCTTTATACATTTGGGTGAATTATTCTCTTTGTTTACAGCTATTGCCATTCATCATATTTATTGTTTGTCTTTATTCCCTCATTTACTCACAAGAACATTATTAAATCTCCTTTTGGCTTTTAATAGCTTTGAATGCGGTTTTTTGGCAATTATTAACCATCAATCTTGGATCTAGAGCTTATTATATTTAACTAGAATTAACCTATTATCATTTACTTAATTAGATTAATAAAAAGGTTTAAGACTTTTGGTCAAACAATTTGGCGCCGTCTGTGGAGATTTTCTAGTTCAAAGTTTTAAGTTTTTCTAGATCTAAAAAAAACAACACGCAAAACTCTGCACAGTCTCGTATCTCGTTGTTTGCACAAATCTGACATGGCAGGCAATGGAGAAGAAAAGAGAAAGGCGATAGCCGATCTCAACGCCAATCTCCTAAACACTATCAACGAAGCTCACGGAGAGGACGAGGAGAACGTGACACCAAGCGGCTCATCTAGGCGAAGGGATTCATCCCCTCCTTATGGAAGTGTTACCGCTTCTCATGGAAAGGGAGCCTCTACGCCACCACGGAAAAAGCACCACCAGCGGTAAAAAAGCTACTAGAAGCATGGCTAACGAATATACTGAACAACATACTAGACAAGCCCGCTCAGAGGGCGAGTAGAGAGTGTGTGCAAGTCAACATCGCCACAACAACCAATGAGCAACACAGCCAACCTCCTTCGACAGGTACCACTCACCCTGTTAATTATACAGGTAATGACGCCCTCACTGCCATTTTTAGAAAAATGGAAGAGATGGAGAACGAGAACAAAGCACTCCGCGACCAATGAGAGAGCATCAAGAAAGGATAGATAAGATACCGAGCATCCCAAAACTCCTACCAAAACGGGACGCCGGCTGGTTTATGGAACAACCATATAGGGACGAGACCACGCCACATGCTATACCAAAAACTTTCAAAATGCCACCATATTTGAAAATATATGATGGCACGACGGACCCCGAAGATCATGTGACCCACTATGTCACTGCAGTGAAAGGCAACGACCTTGCAAAAGAATAAGTATCATCCATATTGCTGAAGAAGTTTGGAGAGCCCTAACCGGTAGGGCCCTAACTTGGTACTCATAGTTACCTGCGCGCTCCATAGAAACGTTTGAAGAAATGGCTGACAAGTTCGTCACCGCCCATGCCGGGGCCAAGAAAGCGGAGGAAAGGGTGAATGACATATTCTCCATCAAGCAATCTCTTGGCGAGGGACTCAGGGACTTCCTCGCCTGGTTGAACCGTGTAAGAATGACCCTTCCAAATGTATCTGAAGGAATGGTGGTGGCCACTTTTTAGAATGGGCTGAGCAGAAGTGGGTCGAGGGCGACCAAAAAATTACTAAGCCAACTCATGAAATACCCTCAAACCACTTGAGATGAGATACATAATGCCTACTGTGCCGAGGTAAGAGCCGGCAAGGATGATCTCAACGAGCCTACTCCACGCCTGACCTCGGTCCAAACGAAGTCCATGAAGGACCGAAGAAACAACAACAGAAGAGATCTAGCAGGGTCACGGCCTAATCGATAAAGACATCAGCCTTACGTCTGAGGCACTCTCATGCCACCTCCACGTCACGACGAAGGTCCATCCAGGCCGCGAACGGGAAACCACTAAAATGAAAGAGGTATGCCCCCTTGTTGTCAGCTCATAATTTTTGTGTTTCCCCCTCAAAAATAGTCTACGCATTGGAAAAGCTCGGTCTAAAGGTAAAATGGCCACAGAATATGAAGTCCGACCCAAGCACCGGAAGTCAAATGCCCTCTGCAAATTCCACCAGGAACGTGGTCACAAGACCGAGGACTACATCGCCCTCAGACAAGAGGTCATGAACATGCTTCACCAAGGGCATCTAAAAGAGTTGATGAGCGATCGAGGGAGGGATAACTTCGTCCGATAGTGAGAACAACATCAGGGACAGCCCAAACTACCTTCCCCAGTTCGGACCATTCAAATGATCATCAGGGGAGGCGAGACACATCTATCAACAACATAAAGTTCACCACCACTCAAAAGCTCAGGCGGTCAATCACCCACGAATGGTATGACAAACTTGAAGAAAGTATCATCTTTGATAAGTCGGATACCCACGGTTTGGTCTTTCCTCATTATGATGCCCTTGTCATTACTTTACGTGTTTTTGATACAGATATAAGACGTATCATGGTCGATGATGGAACCGGCGCGTGCATCATCCACCCTCGATTTCTCACCCAAATGAAGCTCGAGGACAGGATAGTGCCATGTTGCATCACGCTAACAGGTTTTAACAATGCCATTGAGCGGACATCTGGAGAAATCACATTGCCCGTCTTGGTCGGCGGCGTCACCTTGGAGACCACGTTCCACATCATGGACCAGGATACGACATACAACGCCATCATAGGCCGACCATGGATACATGACATGAAAACCGTCCCCTCCAGTTCATACCAAGTCATTAAATTTCCACCCTTGGGGAGTCTTCTACATTCGGGGAGAGCAATGCATGGCTCGAGAATGCTACCGCATCATCCAAGATTGCACATACACAACAGTTTAAAGGAAAAGCCGAGGAAGCATAGCAATTAATGAAGCCGAGGTCGGATGGCGAGGAAACGAAAGACGTCATCAGCGACCTTGAAATCATAGAAGCCACGAGGTCAACCATAGAGGACCTTGACCCCATTCAACTAGATGACGAAAACCATAGCAAGAAAGCTTTCATCGACCATAAACTCCAAGATCCAGGTAAATTTCATCAATTCTTAAAAAATAACGTGGACTTGTTCGCTTTTTCCCATGCAGACATGTCAGGTATCCCAAAGGAGATAGCAACTCATAGGTTGAACGTCGACCCATTTTACCCCCAGTAAGACAAATCAGATGAGAGTTTAACTCTGCGATAAATGACGCAATTCATAAAGAGGTCGAGAAATTATTAGTGAATGGTTCTATCAGAGAATCGAAGTACCCTCAGTGGGTCGACAACAAAGTCTTGATGAAAAAGAAGAATGGTACGTGGAGAATGTCTGTGGAATTCACAGACCTGAACAAAGCCTATCCAAAAGACTCATTCCCGCTACCTTACATCGACCAACTCATCGACGTCACAGTCGGACACGAACTGCTGAGTTTTTTAGATGCTGACTCGGGCTTCAACCAAATCCTCATGGAGGAGGAGGACCAGGAAAAAACCATATTCATCACCCATTAGGGGATGTACTGCTACAGAGTGATGCCGTTGGGGTTAAAAAATGTGGGGGGACGTACCAGAGGATGGTGACCAAAATGTTCAAAGATCAACTCGGCAAGACCATGGAAATATATATAGATGACATGCTGGTCAAGTAAAAAAGAAAGGAAGACCATATCAACCACTTGAGGGAGGCCTTCGACATACGCAGAAGGTACGATATGAAATTAAACCCCGAGAAATGTGCTTTCGGCATGATATCTGGAAAATTTCTCAGCTTTTTGGTATCATAACGAGGCATTGAGGTCAATCCCGACCAAATCGAGGCCATAGAAGAATTCCCAGAAAATCTAACCAGCAAAAAATAAGTGCAAAAGTTGACCGGTCGGATAGACGCTTTGTCAAGATTCATCTCGCGGTCCTCCGATAGGTGCCACAAATTTTTTGGCATACTCAAAAAGGACAATGAACTCCAATGGAATGTCGAATGCATCAACGCCTTAAAAGAACTGAAGGCCTACCTGTCTTCACTACCGTTGCTCGCTAAGGCAGAACCTGGAGAACGCCTCCTTATCTACTTGGCCGTGTCCGATGTCGCAGTAAGTGCAGTCTTGGTACGAGAAAATAAAGGTACGCAATGTCTGATTTATTACATCAGCAAAACTTTGGTCAACGCTGAAACGAGGTAACCCCACCTCGAGAAGTTAGCTCTGGCCTTGGTCATAGTTCACGGAAGCTTAGACCTTATTTCCAGTGCCACCCTATCTCAGTGGTCACGACTTTTCCTTTAAGGAGTATCTTGCACAAACCCGAACTATCCGGTAGATTGGCCAAGTGGGCCATAGAGTTGAGCGATCACGATATAACCTATCAGCCGCGGACAGCGATAAAGTTGCAAGTTCTTGCCGACTTCGTCGCCGACTTCAGTACGAAGATAATGTCCGAATTTGAAAGGAAAACCGCCATTAGTTCTACCAAAGTACACGACTAATGCGTCTTATACACTGATGGCGCTTCTAACGCATCAGGATCTGGATTGGGACTTATGCTCGAGGTCCCAATAGGCGAAGTGATTCGCCAATCTATAAGATGCCCTAATATGACTAACAACGAGGCCGAGTATGAGGCCGTGATTGCAGGGTTAAAATTAGCACTCAAATACGGAGCACGGCGGGTCATCCTTCAATACGACTCGCAACTCGTTGTCAATAAGGTCATATGGACTTTCCAAATTAAGTAGAAACGATTACAAAAATACCATGCCAAGATTCACAAACTATTACCCAATTTTGATGAATGCCAGCTCGATCAAATACCTCAAGCGCAGAACATCGAAGCGGACGGCCTCGCCAAATTAGCAGTGGCCACCAAAAGCATAACCGGAGAGGGGGACATGGTCACTCTCCTCCATTCATCGCTAAAGCAAATTGAGGTACACTTTATAAACCTAACTTGGTACTGGTGCAATCACATTATCTCATACTTGCAGGACGAAGTGCTCCCACCCGATAAAAAAGAAGCCAAGAAGTTTCAAATGTAGGCAGCCAGGTACAACGTCGTCAATAATGACTTGTGCAAAAGAACATTTGGTGGACCCCTAGCAAAGTGCTTAGGGCCAAATCAAACATGGCGTGCCCTCAAAGAAGTACACGAGGGCCACTATAGTGCTCACACTGGAAACCGAGCTCTCATTAGATGCCTCATACGGGCAAGCTACTATTGGCCCACGATGAAGAAGGAAGCCACCGACTTCGTCAAAAGGTGCGAGCAATGCAAAAGATACTCCCCCATGATTCACCAAGCGGGCGAACATCTTTATTCAGTCACTTCCCATTGCCTTTCATCAAGTGGGAAATGCACATCGTCAGACCCCTCCCGACGGGATGAGGTAATGTACAATTTCTTTTAGTTCTAACTGACTATTTGTCCAAATGGGTAGAAGTAGGTACATTTGCCCAAATACACGAACAAGAAGTAATCATGTTCATATGAAGAAACATCATTTGCCACTTCGGCATCCCCAATGAAATCAGCTGCGACAACGGTTCCCAGTTCACTGGAAAAAAGACCGCCGAGTTTTTCAAAAAATGGCACATCAAAAGAATACTCTCCGCGCCATATCACCCTGCAGGCAATAGTCAGGTGGAATCCTCCAGCAAACCAATATTGAATATCATGAAAAAGAAACTCGAAAATGCCAAGGGACTGTGTCCGGAAGTGCTACCAAAAGTATTATGGGCATATCGCACCTCGCCAAAGATGAGCACATGGGAAACATCATACTCACTAGTGTATGGGACTGATGCAATGATACCAGTTGAGGTCGGGGAGCCCAGCCTGAGATACTCAAATGAAAGCTGGCCAAGCAATGACGAGAACAGAAGGCAAAACCTCGATAAAGTCAAAGAGCGAAGAGACATGGCCTACATAAGAATGATAGCTCAAAAACAGCAGGTAGAGCGGTACTACAACAAGAAAGCCAAAATCAGGCCACTCAAAGTCGGGAACTACATACTCAAAGCCAAAACACAAGCAAGCAAAGACCTACGAGAAGGTAAACTGGGAACCAATTGGGATGACCCATACAAAATCACAGCGGCAGCAAGCAAAGGGTCATTCCAGCTAGAAACAATGGAAGGAAAGTTACTACCAAACAATTGGAATGTCGCCCACCTCAAGTACTTTAACTTCTAAATGATGGAGAGTTTTGTCCCAATTGGGTTTTCTCAGGGAGGTTTTTAACGAGGCAATGAAGAGAGCGTCTTTGTCATAACCCTAAAACTGAGCCGGTCATGATGGCGCCTACCGTGAAACTAGGCCAGCCGACACAAACCCAAAACCAACCAAAAATTTCATAAGAAGTCATTTTAAGCCATTAATTAACTAAAATCCCATAATATAAATTTAAATAAGCAGTGCGGAAATAGAACACAAGCCTAACATCGGGGGGGGGGGGGTTCACAGTCATGAGAAACAACAAACTCGTCTAGGAACAAGAAAGGACAACATAGTCCAAAAATAAAATACTAAGACAATCTGAATAAGATAAGAAGGAGAAGCACAGGGTTGCGAATGCCAAACAACTACCTAGTCAACTCCGGACACCTGCTGGAAGACTGATCAGCACTCACTATTGCATCCCGAAACTCCTGGATCTGCACACAAGGTGCAGGGAGTAATGTGAGTACGCCAACTCAGTAAGTAATAAAAGTAAAAGCAGCTGAGCAGTAATAAAACAAGTAATTTCACGTCATAGCACTACAACAAAACAATATATATCCAGAACAATACAGTAAATCAATAAACTTGTAAAAACAACTCAGTTCAATAAAACCTTTTTAAAAACATCTTTCAATAGTTTCAATCGAGTGATGAAAATAGTGAGTAAAAGGATGGAAACGTAAATACCCCTCGGGCAAAACATGTACCACAATCGCCCCTCAGGTAAAATATCAACAGAACCAACCCCTTGGGCTACCTCACAATCACTCGTAATCAACCCCTCAGGAAACAACATGAAACAACAACAGCCCCTCGGGCAACAATATGAATCAATAACAGCCCTTCGGGCTACATCCCATTACTCACACTGGGTACTTGCACTCACTGGGGGTGTTTAGACTCCGTAGGGGATCCTACAGCCCAAGCGCTATCACAAGCCATCTCGTGGCGTAACAAATCAGACCCTCAACCTCTCATATATCACAAATCAGTACAATATACTGCGATATGCAGCACGATCCTATAATATCCCCACAACACATGCCCTCGGCCTCACTCAGTCAGAAACCTCTCAAGCCGCTCGGGCAACAATAAAACATGATGTTCAGCCCAAAATATCATTTAAAATATCAAAACGGAGTAAATACGGTTGAGTTATGAGAACAGTAGAATACAACATGGCTGAGTGTAAATAATAAATCAGAATAGTGAGGAATAGTAGTAAAAAGCCCCTAAGGGTCCAAAATAGTTGGCACGAGGCCCAGATATGACATTCAGCCCAAAACATGGAAATACTTTACAAAACACAATGATATCAAACAATTTTTACATCAAATACGCGACTTAACAATCGTACGGGACAGACCAAGTCACAATCCCCACTGGTGCATGACCCCACGCTTGTCATCTAGCGTGTGCATCACCTCAAAGTAGCACCACAAAGTGGAATCTGGGGTTTCATACCCTCAGGACAACATTTACAATCATTACTTACCTTAATCTGGTCCAAACTCTAGCCCGCGATGTCCTTGCCTCTCGAATCGGCCTCCAAATGCTCCGAATCTAACCAAAACAAGATTCATACCATTAATACACGCTAAAGGAACAAAGCCCAAGCGAAAATAATCAAATTACATCAAAAATCCCGAAATTGGCCAAACCCGACCCCCCGTCCCACGTAATACAACTAAACAACACATAAAGAAGAAAAATAAGGAAAATAGAGCGGTAACTCATGAAACGACCGGTCGGGTCGTTACATCCTCCCCCTCTTAAATAAATGTTCATCCTCAAATGAGTCAAGAAACATACTTGAAGCCTCAAATAGGTGAGGATATCTGCTCTGCATCTCTCACGCGGTCTCCCAAGTAGCCTCCTCCACAGGCCGACCTCTCCACTGCACTTTCACTGAAGCTATATCCTTTGATCTCAACTTTCGAACCTGATGCTTCAAAATAGCCACTGGCTCCACATCATAAGTCAAATCATCATCTAACTGAACTGTGCTGAAATCCAAAACATGAGACGGATCGCTAATATACTTCCGGAGCAAAGAAATTTGAAATACCAGGTGCACACTCAACAAGCTAGGTGGTAAAGCAAGCTCATAAGCCTCCTCCCCAATCCTCTGAAGCACCTCAAAACTCCCAATAAACCAAGGACTCAACTTATCCTTCTTCCCAAATCTCATAACACCCTTCATGGGTGAAACCTTCAGTAGAACCTTCTCCCCAACCATGTAGGACACATCACGAGCCTTCCTGTCAGCATAACTCTTTTGCCTCGACTGCGCTGTACGAAGCCGCTCCTGAATCACCTTCACCTTGTCCAAAGCATTATGAACCAAGTCTATACCCAATAGCCTAGCCTTGCCCCGCTCAAACCAACCAAATAGAGATCTACACCGTCTCCCATATAAAGCCTCATATAAAGCCATCTAAATACTCGACTGATAACTGTTGTTATATGCAAACTCCGCGAGCGGTAGAAACTGATCCCACGAACCACCAAAATCAATGACACATGCGTACAACATGTCCTCCAATATCTGAATAGTGCACTCGCACTGCCTATCTGTCTGAGGTTGAAAAGTTGTGCTTAACTCAACTTGAGTACCCAACTCTCTCTACGCGTCCCTCCAAAACTGCAAAGTAAACTGAGTACATCTATCTGAAATGATGGAAACTGGGACACAATGCAAGCGAACAATTTCTCGGATATAGATCTCTGCCAACCGCTCTAAAAAATAGGTAGTACATACAGGAATGAAGTGCACGAACTTGGTCAGCCGATCCATAATCACCCAAATAAAATCAAACTTCTTCAAAGTCAATGAGAGTCCAGCTACAAAATCCATGGTGATCTGCTCCCACTTCCACTCTGGAATATCCATTTGCTGAAGCAAGCCACCCGGTCTCTGATGCTCATATTTTACCTGCTGACAATTGAGACACCGAGCTACAAGTCCCACAATATCCTTCTTTATTCTCCTCCACCAATAATGCTATCTCAGATCCTGATACATCTTTGCGGCACCGGATGAATGGAGTATCGCGAGCTATAGTCCTTATTCAGAATCAACACCCGAAGCCCATCTACATTAGGCATGCATATCCGACCCTGCATCCTTAATACCACATCATCACCAATAGTCACATCTCTGGCATCGTTGTGCTGAACTCTGTACTTAAGGACAAGCAAATGAGGATCATCATACTGGCGCTCTCTGATGCGATCAAACAAGGAAGACCGAGAAACCACACAAGCTAAGACCCGACTGGGCTCCGAAATATCCAGCCTTACAAACCAATTGGCCAAGGCCTGAACATCAACTACAAAAGGTCTCTCCCCAATAGGAATGTATGCCAAACTAACCATACTCACCACCTTCCTACTCAAAGCATCAGCCACTATATTGGCTTTCCCCGGATGATACAAGATAGTGATGTCATAGTCCTTTAATAGCTCTAACCATCTCCGCTGCCTCAAATTGAGATCCTTCTGCTTGAACAAGTGCTGGAGGCTACGATGATCAGTAAACACCTCACAAGACACACCATACAAATAATGCCTCCAAATCTTCAATGCATGAACAATGACAGCCAACTCTAGATCATGAACAAGGTAGTTCTTCTTATAGGGCTTCAACTGACGAGAAGCATAAGCAATCACTCTACCCTCCTGCATCAACACACATCCAATACCAACTTTCAAAGCATCACAATAAACTGCATATGAACCTGAAGCTGATGGCAATACTAACACCAGAGCTGTGGTTAAGGCAGTCTTGAGCTTTTGAAAGCTCACCTCACACTCATCCGACCACCTGAATGGAGCACCCTTTTAAGTCAATTTGGTTAAGGGTGATGCAATTGATGAAAATCCCTAAACAAACCGATGATAATAACCTGCCAAACCAAGAAAGCTGGGAATCTCTATGGCTGAGGATGATCTGGGCCAACTCTAAACTACCTCTATCTTCTTCGGATCAACCTGAATACCCTCACTGGACACCACCTGCCCCAAGAAAGCCACTGAACTGAGCCAAAACTCATATTTGGAAAACTTTGCGTAAAGCTTCTCCTCCCTCAGTCTCTGCAACACAAATCTCAAATGCTCCGCGTGCTCCTCCTAACTATGCGAGTATACGAGAATATCATCAATGAATACTATCGCGCCCCCTTTTTCTCGCAAAATCGAGTTTATGATATTTGGTATGGGACAACTCGTTCCTTTTGGGAACTGGGTTTGTATTTGAAGAGTCGCCACCTAATGATTTAAGGTGCATTAGAACTCCTATAGGGTTCAATTCTAAGTTATTTGAACAATCAGAGATAGGGTAAGGGCTTGAAATTATCCTAAGGGGAAGGTGTTAGGCACCTCTCAGGATCCACTAGTGTGGTTCCTGGCCATACAGTTGATTGTGAATTTGTGTAATTTAGAAAACAGACAAGTATGGGCTCAAATATTAGGGGATTTAAATTTAAACACATAAGAGAAAGAACAATTAAAAGAAGAGTTTTTGAAAAGAAGTTTGCAAATAAAAGGAAAGGGGGTCCTAGGTTTATATTTAATATGGATCACATCAATGCGATACTCGGTATGACACTCCTCAAAAGAGGGGATACACATGGTATTAGCGCATCAGTCATCATATCCATATCTACCCTTCCTGCCCCGTTGAGGTATTAAATCGCGGATTGGTCTCGATTACTATTACATGCTATTAACCATCCCATTCCTATTAGTCCTGGAGGAGTTTATGACTACTACTCCTAAAGGGGAGGGATATTAGGCTGATTTTGGTTTCAAAAGGTAAAAATCTAAGGCGACATACAAAACATATAATACTACGTGTTGGGGGAAACATGTAAATAGATAAAGGCTCATGCATACCTCCTCAAACAAAACACATAAATAG